GTTGCTTCGCGAGGTCTGCGGGGCCGATCTCGAGACGGAGCGGGACGCCCTGGAGAAGGCGTGGTCAGTACGCATTCGGGTTTACAGAGAGAAGCTTTGTGGCTTACCTTCTGCTCCCAGTCGTTGAACTTGAAGCCAGGAGTGTAGCCCTCGCGGAGATCCGCACGCGCCCGGATGCCAGCCTTCTTGAGTGTATCCGCGAGGTTCTCACACGCCGTGTTGACAGCGACGCGCTGCTCCTCGGTGGACTTGGCGGTGATGCCGCACGGGACGACGACGACCTGAACAGCGGCTACGCGCGGCGGGAGGACCAAGCCCTGGTTGTCGCCGTGGATCATGACCATGACACCGATCGTGCGCGTCGAGAGACCCCATGAGTTCTGCCACACGTACGCCTTTTTCTGACCGGTGGGGTCGTTCGGGTCCTCGACGAAGATGTTGAACATCTCCGGGCGCGAGAAGTTCTGCCCCAGGCAGTGCGACGTCGCGCCTTGGATACCTCGCCCAGTCGTCGGGATGAAGCCCTCGACGGTCGTCGTGTAGAGACCGCCCGCAAACCTCTCCTTGTCGGACTTGACACCGGGGATGACAGGGACGGCAAGGAGCTCCTCGTATACCCGCCGGTAGAGGTCGAGGATCTCAAGCACCTCCTTATCGGCCTCGGCCTTCGTGAGATGTGCGGTGTGGCCCTCCTGCCAGAGGAACTCACGCGTGCGGAGGAAGGGCTCTGACGGCATTCTTGAGCGCAAGACGTTAACGATAGGTTATGGACACTTACGAGGGTTCTTGAACTCCCAGCGGACGACACTATTCCACTGGTTCAGTTTGAGTGGAAGATCACGGTGGCTTTGGATCCACTTCGCATAGTCTGAGTCCTCATCAGTATTGATCAATAGGCTTGTATGGAGAAGACATACAAGGATACATGACCGTTTCGGAGGTGGGACGGATCGCGATGGGCTCTTCGAGTTCAGAGTTACCGCTGCAGCCAAGATGTGAGTCCATGACCAGAAACAAACAAATTTGAATACATACGCTCGCGTGACCCAAGCGACTTCAGGAGAAAAGCCCTCGACGTGGTCCTTCTCCCGCTCCAAGACTTTGGACGAGACAAACATGGGGAAATACGCGTTCTGCACGCCCATCTCCTTGATCTTAGCATTGAACCACTCTGAGTAGCGGTTTAGCTGACCACCGCAATTCTGAGGTTCGAACGCGCACGTACCCTGGATCGTTTCCCAGATGGAGTATGACCAGGGTTTTAGGATATAACAGCCGCTAACGTTGTAGTACTCCAGCATGTCGGCCTTGATGAGCACGTTCGTGTACCACGTCGGAAAGTCGACCTCCTTCTTCACACCGATAGCGATTTGCACCGCGCCTTCGATCTTCGCGTCCTCCTTCTCCTTCTTCACAGGGGCAGATTTTGACGCTGCCGCACCATCCGCTGCGGCTTGCAGGTTCGCGATGTCGAGCTCGTGCAGTGTGGGCGCGCCCTCGGTGGCAAGCTGCTTGACATAGGCGTAAAGATCCTTCCCGGAGAGGAAGATTGTGGATTCGGAGGAGAGGCCGCGGACGGCGAACGTTGAGGACGAGGTCGCGATCGCAGAGTCGATGACGGTCGTGACCTTGGGATATGTTTGTGAGTTGAGAGCGAGGGGGGAGACTGCACATGAATCTACGTGTTAGCTCTCGATCGCCCCTGAGAACGCAATATAGAGTTGCACTGAGTCTTTGTGCAGGTCCGGCGGCGAACTTCATCTCTCGCAAGAGCTCACTTCAGCCCCGCGCAACGCCTTGCAAACCCCCAGAACGAAGAGCCCAGGAAACAGCACTCACGAGAGTTTTTGTCAAGACCGAAGAACTCCTTGAGGAGGTCCTCTGACGCGAGACGGAGGTCCTTCAGATTCAGCGTCTTGCCGAGCACGCCGGAGGGAACATCCGTCGTTTCTCGCGCGATGACGAACACGGGCACAGGCACCGCGGTCTTCGCGGTCTTGGGCTTGTACACGAGCGTCTTGACGAGCTCGAAGGTCTTCGGGGCGGCGGAGCTCGCCTCGAGGGCTTCGCGCCAGGACTGGGGGGAATTTGTCGGGGCGTGCGAGACGGTTGCGACAGGGGAGATGGAGAGTTTGGAGAGCGACTGCGTGACAGACTCTACAGAGGCCATCGTGGCTGCTGTACTGAGCGAGCGGTAAGGCAGGAGAGGAAAGCGGCGGAGAGATCGAGGACGGGGACGGGAAGAGGCTGAAAAGAAGTAGTCGGCGCTTTCGCGGATTGACTCGACGGCTGTTGACTCGACGGCTGCTTTTGGGAGAGACGATGTTATCAGATGCTGCGATAGAACTACTCGCGCTGCTCGAACTCGGGGAATCCGTCCAGCAACGGTTCTCGAGGCGAGCATCCGCACGTCGACGGAGGCGTTGGCACGGGAAGACTGCCGCGGACTGGGCGGAGGTGGGTGACGCGACAGAGAAACGCGTCCGAGTCCGCGACTGGACGAGCTCGACGCGATCGAGGCGCTCAGCCATTCTACCCGAGCGCGGACCACGCCAGCCCGAGTCCCTCCCTCTCTAACATATGCTCAAGTTCACGATTAATGCACAACGGTGGTGATGTTCGCAATGAAACGAGTGACGCGATGTATATACAAGCGTGGTCGCGCTGCTGCTCCCTACATCGCAGAGTTCACATCATCAACTAGCTGCGTTGCGGTTCGTACAAGGGTAGTGACTGCATGTCCGTGCGAGTGCGAGTGCCAGATTCAGCAAAGGAAGCGGTCAGTGGTATAATGTATAGTACAGCAAAGACACCGACACGTCGTTCGGACGGATGTGCTCGTCTATAGATCGTGGGGCTCATGCGTCGGACGCCTCTCCTGGGGGGGACGCGTCGCTCTCGTCTTCTATCTTATGCTCCGCGGGCTCTTTCAGTTCGTCCTCGACAGCCTTACGGCCTTCTTCAGTGAGGCTCGGCACGCCGGACGAGATATCAGGATCAAAGTAGCGGGGGACAAATCTGCGGATGTAAATGAGCCACCGAACAGCAATCCAGCCAAAGGCGACTCACTTGGCTCCCTTGCGCTTGCGCTCCGCAGCGTCGTCCCGCTGCTTCTGTTCTATGGCGAGCTTATGCTTCGTCGCTTCGCTGTACTCCTTCCTCAGTAACCGGCTCGTGACGTTCTCCCACAGCTTTCTACTCTCGTTCGGCAGCTGCTTCTCCAGAGGGCGAACCACCTTCGGGACGACGTGCAGCATGGACAAGTCGATGAGCGTCGCGTACTCGCTGTCCGGCGCATCAACGCGCTTCCAGCGGATCTTATGCCGCCATGACCCGTCAAAGACCGCCAAGACCCGGTCGCGCGGGACATGCTTCACGCGCGTCCACTCCTCGTGCACGGTTTCCGTCGGATTGTACGTGTGGATGACGCCCTCGCACAGGAACTGCGCGCGGCCGAGCCACGACTCCTCCTTATAATCGATGATCGCGCGCAGCTTCTGCCCGTCCTTGCCCCCGGAGCAGGTAATGATCGTCGAGTCCCCGACGGTGACGTAGAAGCTCCCCCGCAGCAGGCCATTCACGGACGCGACCGGGTGCGTGATGTGGTACGTCTCGCCCTCGCCAGGCTCGCCCGTGATGCGCACGAAGATGCCCTTGTTGAACGAGCCGGGCATGACGCGCAGCGTCGTTCCGGACACCTTGGCGGAGATCTGGTCGATGCCGCTCATCTCGACCTTACGGCTCGGACAGACGGCGTAGAACGCAGAGATGGGCGGATGGTGCGAGACTTGCTCGGTCAGGTAGGCGATCCTCACGCGCGGCTTGTCCGCTGCGGTCTCGTCCGTCTCCAAGAGGTCGACCGCGGCCGAACTTTGGTCGTTTGCCAGGCTCAGGTTCGACATGCCCGCGTCGAGGTTCGTCTCTACGAGCTCCGGAGAGGTCGCAGGTGTGGACTTGGCGGTCGCGGAATGCCCGCGGGACATGAAGCTGAACCCACTGAACGCGCTCTTGCCGCTCTTGATGCTCGCGCTCTCCGAGAAGGCCGGATGCGCAACGTCAGGCATGGAGTGGGTCGCAGGGCCATGCAGCCACGAAGAGCTTGGCGACTCCGTGCTTGGAGGCGAGACGTACAGGTGGTGGATGGGAGGCTGGTTTGGATCCGAAGGGTAGGAGACCGGGATCACGTCCCAATGCGACCGAAAGTGCTCGCCCAGCACGGAATTGTATGGCTTGCAAACCTTTCCCTTCTGCAGCTGAAGGTCAACAGAGAGCTCTCGAAAGGACACGAGAAGATACGCACGATGAACTTCAGGTCCTTTGAGAAAGTAAATCTGAGTACGGCCAGCATACGCTCGAAGGGATCGTCGGAATCATTGATGCTGAACGTTGTAAGGCGCTCAATAACCAGTAAGGTCAATGATGTCAAGCTACTCACGCAGCAAAGAGGTCCGGTCTATCCAGATAGTGCCAGTACTCCAGGTTGGGGATGGGCTCCAGCAGGGACGCCGGCAGGGAGAGGCGCCTAGTGCATGACGATGTTAGCCAGGGGTCCACTACGTTTTAGGTACAAGAACGAGGTTGGAGACGTACATTGCAGCGATGTCCTTGACCCCGAGACACTTCTTGACGAGCTGGACGATCATCTTGAGCTTACCGCTCTCGCCAGTGTCGCCGGAGTCGGGCACGGAGATGGGCTGTTCTGGGACATCTTCGCCAACGGGCGTGCTGGGGTCGATGTTGTCCGAAGTTGCCATCGAGAAGGGAAAAAGGAAGGACGGAAGACCAGGTGAGGCCGGCGCTGTATGTTAAGAGAATGAGGAGGGATGAGGCAGGAAAGAGAGAACGTGCGCATGCGGCAGGAGACCGCTGCCTCCACTTAATGGGAGCTGCGCGGGCGCCTGATAGTCGCCGTAATTATGTACTTGGGCTACTGCGCCGACGCGCCCTCCCGCGGCAGTACTCGCCACCGCTCTCGGCATTGCCCTGCCAAGGGGCAAAAGTGGTTCGGCCCGGGCTCGAACCGGGGACCTCCTGTGATCACTTTCCCTCGGCCAGGTCAACGTATGTGAGACAGACGTGATAACCAACTACACCACCGAACCCTCGGCTGCTAGACACATGCCTTGCCACTTGAAGCTTATGGGAGATGTTCCTAAGCCTTGCTCCGGTGGCTGATACGCTCGAACACCGGTTGCGTCCATCCTCATGTTACTGTCTGATTTCGAGCCTCCATTGGCAGCTATTTCATCGCGATTCAGTTGAACCCATCGGCGGTCTTACATCTAGTGCACCGTCAGTTCGCGCCGCGTCGAGCGCGATGGGCATCAACATCGCGTTAGTTCCAACGTACTCTGTCACTGTCGTATTGACTCAGGGCAGTTTGATAGGATGGTGTGCGATTTCTTCCACCCAGGCGTGGGCGGAGTGGAAAATCACATTTACATGCTGAGTGCGAACCTCATCCGCCGCGGTCACAAGGCATGGTTTATGCATTTCCACTCCATGTGTGAATTAATGACTTTGGGTGTGCTCTAGGTGGTCGTGATCACTCACAGCCATCCACCAGACCGTGTCGGTGTGAGGTGGCTCCTTCCTTCGTTAAAGGTTTACTACATTCCATTTCCGACGATCGCCTCCTCTGCGACCCTCCCCAACTATTTCACCTTTCTGCCATACCTGCGGACGATAGTTCTGCGGGAAGAGATCGAGTTGATACATGGACATGCCAGCCTCTCGTCTTTGGCGCACGAGGGGATCCTGCATGCTCACCTGATGGGAGTGCGGACTGTCTTTACGGACCACAGTCTGTTTGGCTTTGATGATGCCGCCAGCATTCTTACCAACAAGCTGCTCGAAGCTGCTCTGCGCAATGTCGATGCCGCTATATGCGTGTCGCATACTGGGTATGTGTTTTCGGAAGTTCTTGAACAGCCGCTCTAACGGGAATAGGCGCGAGAATACTGTGCTGAGAGCCAGATTACTCCCGGAGAGGGTGCATGTCATACCCAACGCAATCGTCGCCGATCAATTCAAGCCAGCGTCCACCCCTTCATCCGGAGACACTAGTGAGCCACTTGAGATTGTCTTCTACATTCCAGCAACTAAGTCGGAAGGGAATAGTCACTATTGTGGTTGTTTCCCGGCTAGCTTACAGGAAAGGCATCGACCTCCTAGTAGCAACCGCCCCACGCATCTGTGCACTTTTCCCCAATGTCCGCTTTCTGATTGGTGAGTTTGTACGTGGCTGCGACAGCGTGTACCAAAAGTACTCACATGTCTCCTATCGATGGTAGGCGGGGACGGTCCGAAGATGATAGACCTCCTTCGGATGCGGGAGAAGTACCTATTGCAGGATCGCATAGAAATGCTTGGTCCTGTTCGTCATAGCGACGTTCGCGATGTGCTGGTGCAAGGCTCCATCTTTATGAACACTTCTCTCACTGAGTCGTTTGGAATTGCCATACTGGAGGCAGCTTGCGCCGGACTCTACGTTGTATCGACTCGGGTTGGTGGTGTGCCCGAGATCCTCCCTGAGGATACGATCTCGTTCGCCAATCCGGACGAAGATGGTGCGTCTCATTTGGACACTCCTCCCGCCCCTTGCAAATTACTTGACGGTGACTGACTGCTAGATGTTGTCCGCGCCATGTCGGAAGCGATCGAGCTAGTCGCGGCAGAGAAACACGATCCCTTCCGCGCTCATGAACGGATCAAAGGCTTCTACGACTGGAAGGAGATCACAAAGCGGACAGAAGTAGTTTACGACTCGGTCCTCCGTTCCCAACCATACGACTTCTGGACGCGACTCCACCGGTATGCGACTTTCTTTTATGAACGCGGTCTCCCTAACCTGTCCTCTAGAACGCTGGATTTGGGCCGCTTCGCAGGCGTCATCTACGCTATCATACTGATAGTGGACTGTCTCTTCTTCCTTTTGCTAGAGTGGTACCTCCCCGAGGGTGATCTGGATAAGGTCGAGATGCATTGGGAGCCCGAGGTGTTCCGAGAGGTACGGGCTTACGTTGTTCTCACTTCTAGTTGCTCCATAAGCCGTGAAGTCTCAGATTGCAGATGACTACGAGCGGAATCAAGCATCCTGAGATTGGCTTCTCGGCTTCAAGAACCACAATCAGGTGCTTCGGTGAAGTGAGAAGACACGCCTTCTTGCCTGCTCCGCTAGGAATCGGTAGCCGACGCTCGCAGCTCGCAATGGCGGAGGACATCGTGATCTGTTCTTTTACCGCGAAGAGGACAGCTGTATCCCGCGGAGTCGTCAAGTGAGGCTCATATCAGGTCGGTCCTATCAGACGTACATGTACGATGGCTTTCGTATCCGGCGCCGAGCCCGCCTCACGTCCGCTGATTGATGTGAGGGAACCGCCATGCACTGCCTCGAAGACGAGGAATGCATCACCCTCTTTGGAAATGTCGTCCAGAATAGTCTGATGCAACGATGGTTCATTTCTGTGACCGACTTCCTCGCCCTGCTGGGGAGTCGAGACAAATGGGTTCGTACTTTTCCCTCTCTCTATCATATTAGGTCGACATCGATCTCACGCTTGAAAGTTAATTCCAGAATTCATGCGATACTACTGGAAGATAGAAAGGCTATTCCAGATGTTCTTCGAGTGGTTCCCGGCAGGCACAAACATCTTGATATGCGTAGCGGGCCGCGAAGACTCGGACTCCTCGTCCGATGTGTGTCGCGTGAATGCCAAAGGTTAGACACAGGCTTAGCAGGACCCGCTTTCTTCGGCCTCGACGCGGGTGATATTTGTCTGTTTTGAATGATCTACGTGCTGGGCGGACCAGCCACACTCCCTAAACGGGAATACTGCACGGGGTATAGTGACCCACGCATCTCCCAAGCCACATCTAAGTGCCCTGCCTGCAGTCTCTTCCTCATCAGTCCGCTCGCTTAGTAAGCACTCGACAGTCGAGTTGATTCTGAGCGTTAATTGACGAGAAAGACAGACGAAAGGAAGCCAATCCAGGTGGTGGTGGTGGTGGTGCCCGAGGGGGAGGGACGAGCGCTGTGCGTATCTCCACGAGGACAAAGCAGGGTTCCAAGCTCAGCCAACTTGAAAGAGTCTGACCAGATTGAATTAATGCGACATTGACCCTGGAATATCACGAACCTCGATCTCGTTCGAGTCCAGCAACTTTTTTGTCTCTACCAGGAGCATCGCTCGGCGCAGTAATTCCGTCGTACACTGGCTCCCCTCCCCCACAGGGGCATGCCATGCAACCGCGCCTCGTTGCCGAGGATCCGAGAAACACTTTCTGCCTCTCCACCGGAACCATCAGCTCTGCTGACATCTCCTCGCCAAGTGGACGCAGCGTCCGCGTGGACATCTGGCTCTGCACGGGCCCTTACGCTTCCGGAATTCCTGAGTTAACCATCCGGGTTGATTTTGATCCTCTCCAGTCCTAGCAGAGATCGAAGTGCATGCCGGCACATTCCAAGAGGCGACAGAACGTGCGTTGCGGGCTCTTTACGAGACCGATATTCAGGCCCAGTGAAGACCAACCTAGACCTATTCGCTGGAATAGTGGCCAACCAGGATCACGTAGCGAGTATCATTCACATGCGCTGGTCAGAGGAGAATATGGATGTGTTGGTGCAACTCGGCATACAGGAGATAGGCCGGCAAGTTCGCAACCCTTTGTCTGTCCAGACGCAGGCCTCCTCTGCGATCACGGGAGCGGGAAAGGCGACAGGATCTGTCCTTCTGCAGCCAGGGGCTTCCTTCCAGCTGACACTGTCGCCGTCTCAATGTTCCCCTCTAGGCGATCACATACATGTACATACCCTCATAATGTTTTACTATCGGACATGACGCGTTCCGGAACGACCTGTCAGGAACTATCAACACCTCGCTCACATCGACGCCACTTACCTTCTCCCTCACGCACCTGTCCTCTATCTCGGCCGCTTCACAGTTCGAGTTCGCCAACCCAGGAGATCCGACGCTCGTATCATCTCCCATCGCAGGGAAAATCGTGGAGCTACATCCCGCCCTCCGCGCGGCAGCGGCAGGGGCGGAGACAGATAGATACGTGCGCAAGGGGGGCTCGCTGGTTTGAGTGAGCGTGATGAAGATAGAGTATGTCGTGAATGCCCCTCAAAGCGGATACGTAGTGCGGGTGGGTAGGGCGGGTAGTATCATTGGCGCAGGAGCGCTAGTGTGTGTTCTCGCCTTGACGCGGTACGGGAAGCAGCTCATTTGTGATTTTTGTACTAATAAGTGCGGTATGTTACTCGTTGTCGCGGCTCATAGGTGGCGAGTGGATGAAATTGAGGCGGAAGCATCGAGAACGCACGCGACGCGACGCGCCAGGTATTCCCACGTGACCGCGGCCGGAGTCTACGTGTTCGGTCCACTCCGGGGTGAGATCATCGCTGCGCTGCTTGTCCTTTCCCTCGTCCTCCTGCTTTGCACATTGTTCTCCTGGTCTCCTTCGGTGTTCTTTACTTGTACTGTACTGCTTCAAGATGTCGTTTATGGACGAGATACGCAAAATACCGCCCGTTACACGTTTCCTATGCGGGTCCTCGCTCGCAGTCACACTGCCGGTCATGCTCCAGATCGTCTCCCCGTACAAGATCATCTTCGTGAAAGAGCTTGTAACACAGAAGTACGAGGTGAGTATCTATGCTCTAACTCACGGGAAGATTATCTCTTGCAAGGCCTCCGCGGAGAAACCGCTAAGCCCTGTATCTTCCTCAGGCAAGGCTGTGTTGTTCTCAGGCGAAGGGTGCCACAGAAAGAAGACGTTAACACTCATGTACCATCCACAGATCTGGAGAGCGTTCACCAGCTTCTTCCTTGGAAGTGCGTGCTTTCACACTGTCCTGTCGTAACTCCTTACCGAGATTGTCTCCGGGCTTCAATAGGCTCAGGGATCAATTTCATCTTCGAATTTGCCATGCTCTAGTGCGTCTAGACATTCTCGCCAAGGGAAACAGCGTTGCTGAACATTGAACATCATGAAGCCGAAATTCAGATGACCTCGAGTCGAAGCATTATGCAAGACGATCCGCAGACTATGCATGGCAACTCTTCCTCGCATGCCTAGCCATCCTCGTATGTCGTGTCCTTCTCTGATCATTTCGCTCACCATCTGACCAGCATCTATCAAGGGCCTCAACATCCCCCTACGCACCTTTGTGCACACTCGAGCACTGCTCCTTGCACTCACCTACGTCTCTGCCCGCCTCGCCCCACCAGGTTCCCAAACATCCTTTTTCGGGCTCATCACCTTCCCCGTAGCGTATCTCCCGTACGCCCTCGTCGGCATGGATCTGCTCATGGGCGGTCCGGGTGCCGCGGCCGTGAGCATCTCCGGGGCTGTCGTCGGCCACCTCTGGTGGTGGGGTGTCTGGGACACCGGAGCGCTCAGAACATGGGGCACTGCGCCTGCGTGGTTGCGCGCTTTCCTTGGGCAGGCTACAGGTGGAGCAGGCGGTGTTGGCGGCATTGCGAATGTCGGCGGGGGTGTGCATGTTGTCCCTCCGAGGAGACTGAGGGAAGAGGTCGCCGCAACGACCGGTGTGAGGGGACACAGCTGGGGTTCGGGACGGAGACTGGGTGATTGAGATATTCGTAGTCCTCACTTCTCGGTGTTTCTGGTGAGCTCGCACCTCAGAGTCATCGCGTGCGTGGGCTGCGAACTGACGTCGTACTCTCAACGCGTTACAGTGCTGTCTACTGTTGCATCCTCATGCGCTCAATGCTAAATATTGGAGTGTTTGTGTCTCGCATTCGCCGCGCAGACTGACCGGTAGGGACCTCCGCACCGAAAATGGCTAGCGGTCGGAAGAGCGGATGAAACCTCACGGGATCCTCGTGCACTGTGCTGCTTCGTCCGACATTTAGTTCGGGATGATCAACAATGCTGGTCATGGGTATGGACGACCAAGGGCGAAATTCCCGCAAGGGTGTGCGGATTTAGCATTGTCGGTGGCAGGGCAAGTTGAGATTGTTTGCCTCGGTATGCCGGCACGAAATGCGGACGTACACATGCGTGAGATTCGCTAGCGCAAACAGGTCGCGAGGGGCAGACGTGAAGTACAATATTGCTAAGGCAGAGCCTAGCGTCTCTGGCAGGTACTTACGCCTTGAGCAACACAACAGATCATTTCTGGAGGATTGGTGAGGAGGTGTACCTCCAACCACAATGTGACGCTGCTCACCTGCGCTACATGCGGATACGCTTGTTCCCAGACGACAAGGATACGACAACTCCATTGTCAGCCTCCGAGACCAGTCAGCAACGAATTTGCGTCACTGGATTCCTGAGATTATGCCAGTTCATGCGTATTCCTTCGCACCGTACTTCTCCCAGTATTCCTGCATCTTGGCTAGCTCCTCCGTTCGTCCGCGGTCCTGGAGCCATCGCATGAGGTCTCTCATCTTGAGGATCGTCGGCACACGCCCCCTGCCTCCGAGAAGCTCCTCCACCTCCGCAATGCTGCTCCTCCCCTCCTTTCCAACTTCTTGTCGATCCAGCATGAGCACCGCGCCCACGACCTCACCCCCTTCGCGCTTCACCGTCTCGATCGCGCCACGGATCGCCGTGCCGGCGGTCGCTACATCGTCCAGAATGACGACGCGCTTGCCCTTAATAGGCGCACCGACGGTAATCCCGCCCTCTCCGTGGTCTTTTGCTTCTTTGCGGTCGTACGCGAACCCGACGTCGATGTTGTGATCTCGATGGAGAAGGAGTGCGGTGCCTGCCGCGAAGGGGATGCCCTTGTATGCCGGTCCAAAGAGAACGTCGAATTCTGGCAGCCCAGGGGACGACTTGAGGGCGTTCGCAACAGTCGCTGCGTAAGCAGAGCAGAGGGTGTCGAGCACAGGTCCAGAGGCGAGAAGCCCGGCGTTGAAGAAGTATGGTGAGGTGCTGGTCGAGAGCAGTCGGAGGTAAGGAGTGCGGTTAAACTGTCGGCGCAGAGGATGGGACGGACCGGCCAGATTTGAGGGTGAACGTTCCGAACTTGAGAGCTCCTATGGACATGCCATGCTCGATGAGCTCCGTTTGATATTTTTCGAGCGACATCGAGGAGGGGAGGGATTGGCGGGTTGCAGTCAACAGTGCGCGGACTTGTGAAATCACCTCTAACTCCGCACTGACAGCAGAGCGCTTGCAAGGCGATCCATACTGCTACTTGAGCACGCCTAGCTGACTGGCCGCCTGGCGTAATGGCAACGCGTCTGACTACGATATTGCCGTGTAATCAGGAGATTGCAGGTTCGACCCCTGCGGTGGTCAATTGTTTTGCACGGCATTCTTGGAGAATGCTTGTTGGCCGGTATCGAGGAAACCGGTGGGAATACTGCACATGTTCACCGTCGCGCACTGCATAATTTACATGACCGGAGGGCGTGCATGTCCGCGTTTTCCGGAGGATCGTGATGGGAATCTGGCCCGAGCACGCGGCGAAATGTCGGAGCTAGTGGCCCTGCTGACTGTGGGCGTATGCGTTCATCTTCTCGCACATACCACTCCAGGGTCCACCCCCTGTTCAACAACGTCCTCTACATCCCACCTCCCTCGTCTCCCGCTGCAGTTTTATAGCAGCTGTCACTTCCCCGTAGACGGATAACACCAGCGAGTCGTCAGGTGAGCCTTTCTGCTGCCTGCGGAGAAGATACACTGACCAATCGGCACAACTTCGCGCTCTCGCAGAAGCATCCTATTGCTGGCCCGACCGCGCCCGGCGAGCCGTAAACTTCCAGCTATACATTGTATTTCTATCTCAACGCCTACCCATGAGGTTTCAATGAGGTAAGGTCCACTTGAAACTTGTCTGCAACGGCGCTAACTCAGCTACAGCCTCGTCCGCCTCATCTCTCCGCCTGTCTAAGCAAACTATGGGGCTTTTTGGCGCATTTACCGTGTTCCTTCCTCTTTTCCTCAACAGACGTAACGCCAGGGGACTATACGACCCAGAGAAAGCGAACGGTCCCGGTGGAGACGATGAGCTCCCCCAGCCTCAGGAGGCTCGCCGACTGAGCCGCGACTCAGGCGACCAGAGCCATGAAGGCCTCTCGCAAGGAATCCTGAGCAACACGCCATACCGCGGTATTCGTCGTGTACACCACAACGTCAACCACTCATCGTCTTCACCCCCCATGGCAGCGACTCCTCCGATGACCTCACTCTCTCAGGTAATTCACTACTATCACGAATCAAGTCATATGCCTGGCCGAACGACCAGAAGAGTAACGATATCGACAACATCACTCCGAACTATCGCTTGACTCCTATTATCTCTGGGATTGTGATACCCTTCTCCATTCTCTTAGAAATTCCAGGCCTTACCGAGCGGTGGTATATCAGGACTGAGAACGATCAGACGATAGAGACGAAGAAGAATCCGATCATCTTAGAGGTCGGCATGGCCATCTCCATCGCCTGCGCCCTCGTGGCCAATGTGTGCCTCCTGCTACGTTTCCTAGAGAAACGAGTCCAGACTGTGACGCTGCTCTGCATCGGATCCTTGACTATTCATGGTGCGTTCCACTTACGTCCCGGCCCTCAATTCAGAAATTGAGTAACATATAGACATAATCAACATCGTCACCGTCACCATCTTTGGAGTTGAGCATCGTTTCGACGACGGTTTCACGTACGGCGAAGCCTATTGGATGACACTATGTTCCACCATCGCTTCTACTATCTGCAACGTTAGTCTCATCGTCGATCTGGTTCGCACTCCAGACTTCTCCAGACGAGGCAAGCCAGTTGACTTCGTCCAAACCTCTCGTTGCTGAGTTCACTCATTCCTCCATAGGGAGTGGACTGACGCGGAGACAGCGTTCGCTCATGATCGTCGTCATAGTCCTCCTTGTCTATATTGCATTTGGCGCGCTCATCAGCTCGATCCTCCTCCACCTTTCATTCATCAACGGTCTCTACTACTCCGTCGTATCCATCGAGACCATCGGTTTTGGCGACATCGTGCCTCGCAGCACCGGCGCCCGCGTATGGACATGCTTCTATATCCTCTTCGGCGTCATCAACGTTGGAGTTGTGATCGCGATGTTCCGCGAGACAGTCCTTGAAGGCCTCGAGGTCCAGTACAGGCGCCGCATGCGGAAAGTGCGCCAGCGACGTCGAGACGCTCGCCGGTTTCGACGTTGGGAGGCCCGTTGGCAACGCGCGGTCGAGTTCCGCCTGCAACAAGCTGGTCTGCCTGTGTGGGTTCCTGACGAAGACGAACAAGAGATGGCGCGCAAGAACGCACGCGTCCTCAATATCGTGCCGGACGTAGCCAGGCGGATGCCATTCCTCAAACGTCTGGGGATCACCATCAAGCGCACTACCACGCTCACCTCCATCGAGTCGCGCCTTCCGGGCCGTCACAAGATGCACCTCAACGTGAACGCGCTGTCGAACGCGCAGCTGGAGGAGACCGCGCTCGAGGCTGGGGTGCCGCTGGAGATGTTCCTGGATCTCGATGAGAGGCGGCAGGACGGAAGAACGCACCAGGTCGACCCAAACGCCCCGCCCGCACCCAAGCACGAGAGCGAGATCATCCCTGCGCTGTCGCGCGCCCACGCCGCCCACGCCTTCCGCGACAACATCGTCACCGGGTGGCCGTCGCATCCGCAGACGCCGACTCAGGCGCAACTAGGTCGGATGGCGGCGATGCTCACGAAGTTCGCTGTTGCAGTGGCCGGTCGTCATGCTCACGCACCTGGGCTGATACCAGATGCGATTAGAAGGGACGGGAGGGCCGAGAATAGTAGCAATGCGAATGGTGTTGGCGGGTCTGCTCAGGACGGCTCGCAATCACCGCCTACATCCCCGGACAGAGAACAGCGTGCCGACCCTCGCAACAACCAGGCACAGAACGCCCAGGCGCCCCCGGCGTGGCTCATGGACGTCAGAAACCATCCTGCTACAAAGTGGCTTAAAGACTTCTCGCGCGGGACGGCTCAGCGCTCTGCGTGGACGTACGAGAATTATGTGGCGGATATGGAAGCCGAAGAGAAGAAGGCTTACTACGTCAAGGTGAGTCATTGCTTTTAGCTCTTCTGCTACCAGAGTCTAACGGTGATCCTAGCTCGCCATCGCGCTGATTCTATTCTTTCTCTTCTGGACGGTGAGTGTTTGCATATTGGTTGCATGCAATAGCATTGACGGCCTGCGCCGCGATCTAAGGTTGGTTCAGGCATCTTTGTTGCTACCGAAGGGTGGACATACGGCATTGCCATGTATTTCTGTAGGTGCTCTCGCAATGTTGAGGGAAATGCACATCGTTGATCATTCATACAGGCTTCTGCGCTTTCGTCACTACCGGCTATGGCGACTTTGCACCAGTCACACCGGCCGGTCGCTCCGTTTTCGTCGTGTGGGCACTGTTCGGGGTCGGGACACTAACGATAGTCGTCTCTGGTAAGTCATTGTACGATCGAACCGAGCCATTCCTCACCCTCGCAAATGCATTCTGCAGTACTGCAGGAAGCGAGCTCGTCGCGGTACAAGAGCGCCCTGCACTCTCGCGTGTTCGATAAGGCCGTCAAGAAGTACCGTAAGCGACACTTGCAGGAGAGCAAGCAGCGCCCGCGTCCCCTCATCGATCCGCAAGGCTCAAGTGGCAGCGGCGTCCGAGAGCAGAACAGCTCGCGCCCACGCCGGAGTTCGCACGGGAACCGACCGACTGGATCCGCGCAGAACCCGGGCAATCGAGCGGACGCGACGCGGATCGAGGAGCGGCTCAAAGACTCCCAAGAGACGGCCCGGCGCATCTTGGAGACGTTGCCTGGGGAGATCGTGCGCGGAGCGCGGACGTTCCAGGAGTATATGCAGTATTTCGTTTCCAGCGGGTCCGACGTGACATACGACGAGGGCAATGAGGAAGATGCGACCGGCAGGACGCAGGTTCCGCCAGGTATGAAGAAGTTGCTGGACGAACTGGCGGAAATGGAGTACATCAACGAGCGAGTCAAGACGGAGATCTTGCAGGACGAGGACGCGCGAAAGGTCAGGTTCGCGATGCTGCCCGCGGCTTCTCTTTACTCATGCTCAATCACAGACGTTATTTATGTTGAGCCTCGAACGTGAGTCCAGCACCATTAAACTCACGCTGACAGTTGATGCTTATTCTGGCTACTTGTAGGCTCGCTGAAGAAGCTCGTTACCTCAGCGGAAAGAGCGTTGTCGGCTCTCGCGGACAGAGACGCACTTGCGGCCATCGCAGCGGCCCAGCAACAAACTCGAGAGCAGCCCGCCCCCGCAGAGGAGCCCTCGCCTTTCGAGAACGATGAAGAGCATCGCTTTCGCTCTCGTTCACAGTCGCCTCCCCCTCTCCCAAGGACGCAATCCGAGCCCGTTGCCCCTCTGCATCGTCAGCACGTAGAGCATGCGCTGACCGCGCTGCATGAAGGTCGAAGCATAGAGGATTTAGATGAGATATCGTCGTCTTCCGAGGCTGAACATGATCCATCCGGGCCATCATCTAGGACTGCTGAGCCTAGCTGATATCTTCGAGGACCATATGACATGGTCGACCCTTCTTTCTTATATCTAGCATCTCACGTCTCGTACAGCATAGCTCGCATCGCTCACCGCGTTCTGCAACTCATGGCAAATCGCATCCATTTATCACGCAACTCTCGTTCTGCTGTTACCTCATGCGCTATCTGCAGTATAAACGATGGACGACTCTGTAGCATACAAACACTGCCTATCTACCTCTCTTTCCTATCGTATAGTGTGCCTCTACCCGATCCATAACTTATACTTCTGCGCTGGAAACCTCTCAGGTTATGTATGTTGCCTTGTGCTTCCTTGTTGAGATAAATGGCAAGGCACTCAGTCTGCGGGCCGGGCGCTTTGGTGCTGGCGGGCCGTGTGCCAGTGAGCAACTCCGTCCGGCCTTCCGCTCGCATGGCATTCCGCGCACACATCTCAGCTGGCTACCAGTAGCCCAGTCCAAACGTATACTGCCAGGATCGATGGCATGAGTGTCGCCGCGTCGGACGTCCGGAACGTTGTCCTCGAACGCCTAGGATCCGTCAACTCTCATCTCACTTCGAAAGCGGCTAACAATATGCCTCAGCGTCACAAGATTGTGGTCTGCCGGGACTTGGGCCCTGATGTTATGCCCATGCTCCTGAACCATCCAGAGCTGGAGGTAGGCGGTGGCTGGGGGGCAATGAGTAACGAGACTGACCGCCTTACCTATACTCTAAGGTGATTCTATGGCCGGAGGACAGTCCGTGCGATCGCAAGTGGATGCTCGAGAGTGCACGCGGTGCAGT